CCTATATACAGTATAAGTGAATAAACTGTTAGCATATGCCAATTCTTAACACCAAAAAAAAAAAAAATCTATTTTAAAGTATAGAAAAGAAACAGCAGTGAAAATCTACAGACAGAAGTCCTGCATAACTGTGAGTTGCATAACTGTGAACTGCTGCTTCCAATTCAGAAAACTCTCAGTAGTAGCTATTGGCAAATACTATTTTATTTTTTTTTTTAATTTGAAGTAAACCAAGTTTTTTTGTTTTTTTGTTTTTTCAGGAAAATCTCTTTTCCTCCAACACAGAGAACATTAAATTGATGTTTTACTGTTTGGCTGAAGAAAACTTTAATTCAAACCAAGCTGCACTGTGCACCACTAAAAGCTAAGATGCACATAAAATTTAATCTGCAACTTTATCATTTAGTTCTGCTCGCTGTTTTGATCATGTCACAGTTCTTATGCTGAGGATCATGCAAGGAAGCATGATACAATGATTGTAAGTATTGGCCAAAAAAAAGCCCAATACCTGCTCTGGACATTTTAGGGCTGAGATATTACCTCTCCTTCACAATTAAACCATGCAGGCTATAGTCGAATGTGTGATGACCAGAATATCAAATAGAAGTTCCTTTAAAAATTCCAAATCCTGCAGTCCATGAACAGTCAAACACTGACTCTGGCTAGATTTAAATGCTATGTTGCATACAAGCACAGGAGGGCAGTCATTTGTCTAATAAAGTGGGATTAATACCAACCATAATTCCTCAAATTGTGCCCGGTCAATGTAGAGAAGATTCAATTCAATGTTTTTAGTTCCAAAAGCCTAATATGAAAGATTGGATTGTCTGCCTCATCCAACTGCACAAAAAGCAGCTAATGCCAAATCCATCCTAGCCCAGAACATTATTATAAACAGATCATTTATTTGATTTTCCTTAACAGAGACATTCAATCAACTGCCTGAGCTGAAAACTAGCAGAGGGAAAAGATCAGAAACAGATAGTAGAAATAACTTGAGAAATTTAGCTCTTGGGTGCATTGAGCCCTTTCTTCCTGCTCTCATCCTAACCCTACCACTATCTTCATCAGAAGTGGAAGTCACCCATTCCTAGTAGAAACGGCCAGTAAGAAATTGACCTAGAAATACGAGCCAGCGTCCTCAGAGAGTCACAAATGACAGTAAAAAATCACAGAAAGATCAGCACTGCATTTCAAAACCTCGAGAGAACCTAAAATTTGTAACCATTACTGTGCCATAATGAATGCTTTCTCTAAACAATTTGTTTTGCAAACTCTTTGGCCCTTCCTGGCAGTCAGGTCAGCCTACTATTTCACTCCGAAGTCACATCATGTTCAGGTTGTGCTGCAGTCCTGCAGTCTCATGATGAAATCAGAGATAGATCAGCAATATTGTCATATTTTGTCAGAAGACTTTGGGAGATTGAACTGCAATTATTATATTTATCTTGTTCTTCCCACAGAATCTTTTCAACTGAAAGAGAAATTAAAACTGGAAAGCACTGTTCTGGTAAGGTAAGCTTGCATTCAGCTTCAATCACAGAACTGCAAGACCTAGGACAGACTTTTATCCCAAAGTTTCATTTGAGACTGCATGGATAAAGAAAAGTCTCAGAAAAAAGAAGCTGTATCAACTGAAGAGTATAAATAGTGGCAAACAAAAAACTATTTTATAAACAAAAAACTATTTTCTTCCATGAGGCCAAAGGATTTTCTGGAGTATATTTATATGAATACAGCATAATTTACCAGTGTTTATACACTCTAAGCTCAAATTTTATCTGTGGACAAGGCTGCAACACCTAATAAATCCAAAAGGGAATACAAGGTTCCTTTCAAATCTCTTTGAGTTTTCGTGTTTCTAAGATTAATCATCTGATTTTTACTTTTATCTTAGCTCTTACGTACTACTCCAAATTGTATTAAAAGTTCCTTTCCAGAGTAACTCTTTCCTCCCATTTACTACTTATGTTTTTCTCAATGCTTCCTCTCTTGCACTATTTGTTATTTCATGCAGCCAGCCCCTGCTGAGCAGAGGATGATGTTTTTCTCCATTCTTCATGTAGTTTTCAAGATCTCTTTGATTCTCAAACACATTCAAGAAGGCAGCTTTTTCTCCTGGTTTTTTTACTAGTTCAGCATTTTTTCCTTGCAATCCTTGCAATCCTTGCAATCCTCAATCCATCCAACAGAATTTTTGATCTGTTAAGCAGTAGAAGTTTAGGGATACTTTTATCTGAAGTAGTTCCACTTTAGCTTTCTTATTCAGGAAAAGATCTGTGAAACACAGTCCTCCAAGACTCTCTTCCAACAGCTATCAGCCAAGGAAGAACCCATTCCCTGGCTGTGATGTGGCTACGAGTACATCCTTCTATCTGATGACAGGATATAATATCCAGAGCCATAAAATGTTCCAGGAGAGCAGAATCTAAAAAGACAAGCAAATCTATTCTCTGTTTTTAACATTTTCATCTATTAGATCAGATGTCACCAAGACCAACAGTTTCTACAGAATACCAATGTCCCAGAAAGCAATACCAGACTAGAGAAACTATGCAAACAAGAAAACTGCCTGCACCTAGAAGTGTAAGAAGTTCACTACTGAATAATAAAGGCTTCTTTACACAGTGTGCTGAGAGAAATGAAAATGTAAACATTTACAGAGAAAACCGTGTGCGTGTGTTCATATACAATTTGTCCTTCACACTTTAAAAACCACTGTAGCTTTGCCCAAGAAATTGAGAACTATAAAACTCAGAACTCACATGATTATATCCTTCAGAAAACAAAAACACAACTTGCTTTTTCTACTACTTTATTGCTAAAGAATTTGTAGGAGGATTTTGTAAGAAAAACTCTATACTTATCCAATATCTTCTATGTCTGTAAACAAGATTTACAGCTGCTATGTAAAACTGTGAGTGTATCACAGTACACCCTCTCACTCAGGTTCATGAAAGCAGAGATACCAAAGCCTTATGAATGTTAAGCTACCAGCTTATGGACTTGCCAAAGCATAAAGTAAAAGATTCATTCAGCTTGACACTGAAGCCTGTAAGGTTTTCTTCAATTGCTCAAAAAGCTACTAATGCAAAGGAATCACTGATCTGACAAAGGCCTCTGGACATGACTGCAAAACAGAGACAAAAGTAGTTAGTGCACATTAGTGCTGGAAAACACATAGGGCTGGCATTGCAGTAATAAGATGCTATTGCCACATAATTGCTTTTCTGACCATATCTAGATACAGTCATATCACAAAAAAACAGAGCCTGAAAAACCTAGTAGGTCTTTCAGTCCAATCTCCTGCCTGCAGAGGTAACTCTTGTGTATCCATATCAGACAGAAAACCCACTGCGACAGGCAGGGCAGGAGTCTGGTTTCCATCCAGTCTCAAAGTTTAAACAAAATATAGCTGGAAATTCATTTTTGCCTAAACCCACAAGCTTCTCCATAGTTGCAGGGCCTTTGACTTTTCAATAATGCTTAGAGCAGCTCCACCAGACACACACGCATCTGAGCACAGATTCTAGACAGAAATATCTGAAGGGCAAGACACAGCCTGTTGTCTGTGACTAAAATGCTGCAGAATAAAATGAGAGCAAAACATTAATAACCACGATCGGGGGCAACATAGCTAAACACTGGTAAAACAGTGCATGCTAACAGAAGTCAAACAGGTTTTACTGATTCCGAATCTTTTCATTTTCTAATTTCTATAGCAAAATTGCATTTAAGAACATTCACTTCCAAGGATTTATAACATGCAAACCAAATGATGGTATGACCGTACGATATGATTGGCAATGCACAAACCAAGTTAAGAACTGCATTCAAAGGAAGGGTGGTTTTAACTTTTCATAGTACCACATCCTCTTTTAAAATAAATGTAGCATATTTAAAGCATAAAGAAATTAAAGTAAATTTCTTTCTAATCTTTCTGTTCTAAATTAAAATATGTTATGAAACTGAGTTAGTATTAAAGATTCAATACTGCAAGGCTTTGTCTTTATATTTCACAAAAATTTAAAGGCATGAAGATGCTATACAGCACAAAAACACTGTTACAAAGTATTTTGGCAGTGAACAAGTTTGTGTTAGAACTTAGTTTTGATGATTCTTTGAATCTAAGGGACCTGTGAGTCCAAAAATGTGGTCTGTGATTTAGCTTTAGTAGTAATTAAAAAGTGAAAAAACATTCCATTTTGTCAAATACATTTTTTTTAATATATATTTTCAAAACATTCTAAGAAACCATATTCTCTTCAAAAGAGAATTAAGAAATAAGAATTGTATGCATTGTATACATTAAGATGTGCATGCACTATAAAAATATTTGCAGAGAAAAAGAGAAGTTAGAATAGCTCACATCATTTGGAAAATCTGGATAAAAGCACAAAGTGCTGAATTTGTTGTAAAGAGGTGGTACTTATAAAAATTGAGATCATTTATTTAAAGATTTACGTTCAAGCTAAAGCAAGCCAACTGTTCGGAATTCATCCTGAATAAACAAACTGCCCTTTTGTTAGGCTCTGTTATTACCATCAGCTTTATTTTATTTTTTTATTTTTTTATTTTTAAATTTGTCATAGGCTATTTCAGATCTGTGAAACTGAGTTGTTTGGCTCAAAGGGCCATTTTTTGAAAATGCTTTAAAAATAAGGATACAGAAGGTTAGACAAGAAAGCAAGACGATGAGTGTGCTAACTATTCATCCACAAACTTTCAAACCACAGCAAAGTTGATAAAACTTCCCTGATCTGTTTTTTATACAGTTAATCTTCGGCCTTTCTCAATAGCTAGAGAATTATCGATGCCCTCCTTTAGGCTTAAGATGTGGCCACACATTGAATATTGAGATCTGTGATTATTTTCTAGGATGAAAACAGAGTCTCATTTACGTACTGTAATTTCTGATCACTCCAGCTGTGGTGTTCTGCCAATTTTGCTCAGCTGATAAATAACAAGAAATTATTAAATGTAATCTTCTGAGTACTTACATATTCTTGGATTTGAATGCTTCAGCAAAGTTCTGCACACTGCGAAGAGAAGCAAGGTCTAAGGTCATCGCTTCTACCTTGGCTTTATGCTGGAACAAGAAAAGATAAAATAAATAAAAGACAAATAACAGCAAGTTTAGTTCACAGTATCATATTATAGCAAATGTATCACGAAACAAGACTGAGTCTCTTGTTCAACATTACAACCCCAAAGTGAATACAAATCATCAACAGGAATGGACGAGCACAACATTCAGTGCCAAAAATAGTAATTTTATTGTGGTTCTGCTAAAGACCATATAGTGCACAGCTTTAAGTAATGCAATCAATTGACATGAGGTAGTTTTAAGGTTAATCTGGTACGTTTTTTCTTTCCCTTTAGCTGGTGAAACTTCTAAGCAAGTCATGAAATAAAAGGTGCAGTAAGCATTATTCTTAATGCGTGCATTTTAACTAAGTCAATCGAAATACACGTATTTCAAAAATGCTCCATAAAACCAGCTAAATTCAACCTTGTATATTAACCTACAACAATCCGTTACTCATAGCAGGAGACAATTAACTGTAGAAAACAATCTATCCACTTACATAGTTTTTCACTCAGTAAGAGTTTAGCAGGGTAAAATATTTTCTAAACAAATAGCTTACGATCTTAAAGCAACATCAGGAAGAGGACGTACAATCCTGCAAAATGACAGGTTAACCTGAAGGTGCTAACCTTAGGCATCAGCCAAACAACAACTAATATTTTCAATTTCAAGATCCCTGTCCTCATTCCTTTTGAAATCTCAGAACAAAAGCAACACAAAGTCTATTTCCACTACAACCAGTGAAGGAGGAAGCCAGCCCAAGACTATGGCTCTCAGAAGCCACAATTTTGAAAGAGCTTCCACTTGGCTGCAGGAGCACCTTGTGTTCATGCACAACACCCAGCCATTGTCTTTAGTTCTTCCACAAATGTTCTACTATAAGACATCCTCTACGAAGCACCATGACATGCAGTTTGCATAGAACCCCAACGAATGATGCATGTGTGCATTTGTTCTTGCCCTCATTTTTAGGATCAGTGAACGCTTTGGCACCTAAAGGAAGCTGGCAAGGGCCCTGTGTTCCTCTCCAGTCTTCAGTCCAATTTGCTTATCTCAGCCAGCAGAGAAGAAATTAGAGGGACACTTCATGCAATGTCAATGCTATCTATTCCTATATATACAGTCATAGTTTAGACAGAATGTTAGCACTGCTATAAGAGTGAAAAATAATAATATAGAAGAGTGAAAAAAGGATGAGAACAGTGGCCCTATAGAACCAAAGCATTTGAGTGGAGAGGCAGTAGATTTGATAAGAGCATGATGCAATGAGATCTACTCTGGCCACAGAATAACACAACGAGCACTTCAGGAGGAATACAAAGGCAGTGGTAGGCCTTCAAGCACAAAACGAAGCCTGGAAGAGCAATCTCATTGTATCCAAAGTTCAAGCAATTCACCTGATCCCTGTGTTTCATTGCACCTGGTGCTTTTTGTTGTTGTTGCTGCTTTTATTTATTTATTTTGCTAGCACCCATTCTGCCTGCTGCAATTACCTTGCAGGTTGGCTTTAAACAGAATGTCACTCAAATTCCTTTTGTCCTACTGCCAAACCTAATAAAATATAGCCAAATTTTGACAGTTCAGCATTAGGAAGTATCCATCAATGGGAGTACGAAGGTGCTAAATGCAACTTTCCTAAGAAGATTCTTTGCACCCTCACAAGACACGTGTCATTAGGGCACCGGGATTCATTTGGCCCCACTGGGTAAATGTTTACTCCCGTTTGAAAAAGAAAGTCAGTGCTGCCCTGTGTTACACAACAGAGCTGCAGAAAAATCTCTTCAACTTTGCAGTCTAAAGCTGTTTACTTAATAGATAAGTAGTGTACAGAGTTGGGTTTATTTTATTTCTGCTTCCCTCAGTTGAAAAATTCTCCTGCCTCTAGCAAAGAGAAAAGGACAAGAATGCTATAAATACAGGGGCATAAGAGGGGTAATAAATTTATTTTTTTTTTAAATCAAGCAGTTCAGTAGATACCACAAGCTGCTAGTTACTATCTTCTTGTTAAGAAATTTAAGAAACTATATATTTTTTTTTATTTTTTTTTTTTAGGGTAAGGATGGCTTCATTAACTTTTCCCATTGAATAGGTCGCAGAAAAATGGCAAAATATTTCTTTTTTCAGCATTCCCCCTGCTTTTGCTTTACAAAAAAAAAAAAAAAAAAAAAAAAAAAGCTAACAGACTGTAGTTCCTTTGAATAGGTGTGCATGAAGCACAGAAGACACTCAGCTGCTCTATCTGCCTCACAGAAGAAAATTGAGCATGTGAAGCCCACAGCACTCTCAGCAGAAAGTGCCTCTGAAGTTTGTGACAGCATGCAGAAGGCCAGGCTGTTTTGAGTATTTTCCCAAAACAGCAACTGGGGAAAGACCTGTGGGCTTAGGTAAGTTTCTCAACTTTCCTGCTTCAGATTCTTCCTTGCAAACTCAGATTCAAGCACTTCTCACAGTTCCTCCTAAAGGACAGAAACACTAAGCCTTTATTTTCAACACACTTTCACTCCTGATTTTTCTACTCGCTTTCATGTTACAACTGAAAAAAATAATATTAAAAGAAATAAAGAAAGCTATGAATAAAGCAAGGTACTTGAAATCCAAATCGCTAAAAATGTCAGAATAATTCCAATCAGTGACAGGAATGAGGATTTTGGTTGTGGGTTTTTTTTTATTTGTTTGATTGGGGTTTTTGTGTTTGGTTTTTTTTGCTCGTTTCTTTTACAGCTTTATCTTTAATGTTTTCCCTCTTTCTCTGTATGCCTAGGCAGCAGATATCACAGCATTTATTAAAACAGAAAACATACAATTTTTATTAAAAAAGATAATAAAAAAGAAAAGAGATTTCTAAAAGGCATGAAAACCGTAATTGTAATCCACAGTCAGAACTGATTGCTAATGGTATGCTGCAAATCTTGATCTAATGTGTCATAATTTTATTATGCTGATGTCTCTCACCATTTTACTCCACATATTTTCAGTACCAAATTATGCCTCGTTTTATGTTGTGAAGTCTTAAATGGACTTGTCACTTTCCCAAATACAAAAGACAGTCAAGCTTAGAACTGACATCATAATATTCAACACACTAAGACAGCAACCTCTAGAATTTTTTAAATTAAGTTGATAAAATACATCAATCTTCCTTCTACTTCTTTCATTTCTATTACACCATCTAAGGGACGATTAAACAACAGAATGGGTGTAGAATAATTTAGGTAGCTCACGGACCATTACTACACAGTGCCCATCTACAGCCTGTGCCAAACGAGCTGCTGCCCTTGCAGCAGATTCCCAAGAGAAACACCCTGACAGCACCTAAAGCTACCCTCAAACCAGACCCACACCAATTCTGCATATCAGCCAAAAGGAGAACACACACAGCAGAAACGTGGTTGCACTCTTTGAATGAGAAGGGGCTCTGGGGGGGACTTGCATTCCGTGCAGCCCAAAGAGCGGCTCAAGGCTAACAAGATGTAGACACCAGCATCGTGTCTTTGAAGAAGCAGCCAAAGACATATCACTCTGTAGCTCCTAACAAGGCCCCCTCCAACAACACTGGAACGTTTTGAAAAATGCAGAGTAAGAATTTTATCTCATATTTGATGGTTTTATGCTCAGATCTGAAAGCATTTTATCAATATTTCCAGATAAGTTTCATTGCTCTGGATAGAAATAACACCAGAAAACACTGTATTTAGTTTTGTATGCAAGTTGCTCCCCATTGAAGCAAAAATATTAAAAATACTTATGTGCAATTGGCTATATTTTGCACTCACACTAGAAAAATGCTTATTGAGGCAGAAACTAACAAGAAAGTGAAAACATCCAGAAAGCAAGCAATTTCACTATATGCAATGTACTCACTTTACAGCTTAAAAACTGTTTAAAAATGAACACTGCATGGTAGAGTAGCTTGGCAGTAAACATGATTGTGCATTTGTGTCTTGGTATTGAAGAAGGAGCTCTTTTTCATAGTGAATTTTTCATTCAAATGTAAGTGATGATTTACGTTAAATATAGGTAAAGCATAGCTACATTTTCCTGAAGGATTGCAAGGAAGTGAAGAGCAGTACAATAAGTTGAAGCATAAAAGCTTTCTCTGTCATAATATTTATTATAATGGCATATAAAATAGCTGAAATAAATAATAGATGACTAAAAGTAAATTCACATGATAAAGAATCTTTCAGCAGACACCATTACTTCTGACTGCTCCAGTTTCTTACAGAGTTGAAGAGTCTTAATAAATATGCTGTAGCCCCTGTATCTCATGTAAATACAAGTCATTTGGTGAGGGCCTACTTAAAACGTAACAGAGTGGACACTGGATAATTTACTGCATAATTTTACTCTCAAAAGGTATCATGTACATATCCGAGGCATTTAAAGGCACTGAACTCAAAGCTGAATACATAGAACAACTAAAAATATCTGCCTTCGAGGGACTGAAAATACAAGAAACTGGTTTAAAAAAAAAGAGTTTGATAATCTTGACGATTGCCTTGTTCTGCAAATAATTCTTTTATGCAGTGTGAGAAATAAAAAGTCTTCAAGAAAAATATTTATCTTAAAATACATGAAGTAAACAAAGAACCAAAACTTACCATGTGACAAGCAATGCCAAAATAAACCCCCATTTCCATGCTAAGGGCAAAGTAGAGGATGTTTCAGAAACACGTCTGGCAATTTGACACACAGCTTATGACAGCCAATAGCCAGTGCCATGCAGTATTTATCGAGGAACATTATAGGGAGAAAAGCTTTCACTCAGGATTAGGACTGTAAATATTATTGTCCCTAGTGTATTCAACATTTGGTACTTCATGCAAAACTGTATTTATGTAATGCCTGCTTGATATTGATAATGCTGTGTGCTTTGAATGCTACACAATTCCTTCTCATGGATCTGCATGGGACAAATGAATCTCTTTGCTAGAAGAGTGACCCGAAGATACATATTAGACCGCTTACTGATCATCTTTGGACCTCTCTTTTAACATGAA